GAGCATGGGATCTAGTTTAGTTTTAAGACATCAGGTAAATTTACATGGCTGGCTAATAAAGCAAAACAAACACAAACCAGGAAAATCCTGGTTGTTTGGACGCAGCAGGAGTCAGCAGTCAAAGGCTTGACTGTGTTTGGTGGAGCTCGCCTGTGCTGTCTGGCTTTTCTGCATCCGCAGGTTGTCCGTTCTCCAGTGCTGCCACTGCACACACGGGAGCGGCAGTGACAGCGTTCGGGGGTACGGCCGCCTCTTTACTTTTAAAATTCCATTAGAAACAATGGGGGAAAAAGGTAATGGAGAGAAATGCAGAGTATATTGTGCCAAACCCTGCACTATGCTGTCCTGGGCATGGACAGGCATCACCCAGGCCACCCTGGTGTTGGTCTGAGCAGAACTCAGAGTCACCTAAGGATGCCTACTGCAGAGTCCCATTTTGACAGGATGGGACAGCTCTGTCCATCAGCTAACCCTTGGCTGGGGGGAATTAGGTGGACACCAATTTTCAGGGAATGCTGCTCCTATGCTTTAGGAGCCCACAGCTTAGGTTTGATGTCCTCCAGCAGTAACCAACCCACCTCCCTGACCTCCTGCAGGACACCCACCCCAAAGCTGCTGCACAGGGACAAAGTCTGTTATTAGGATGACAAATTTCTCCTGCAGACTGTGGCCCAGCACAGCTGATGTTCTTTGCTACCACCAGAATTTAACAAACCACTTCTCCTGAATTTGATCTTTGTAATGAAAGATGTGCACAAGAATGCTTTTAATTGGGATAGCAGGTCCTGACAGGCTCACGTAGACATGGAAATGACACGTCTGAGCCAGGATGGGACTGATAGTTAAGAAGCAGATGAATACTCCATGCAAAATGCAAAGCTGGGTGTTTTCTTTGGGTCTTTTCTAATGTTGTTGCACCGTGTAAACACAGTCTGTATAATCTGCATTGAGGCACTGAGGGCACATGCACCAACTCTTCAGGTTACTTCTGCAATGCTATGATCTCTCTTCACGGCTGTTTTATTAGCTGGGGTCTGCTGGGATTTTTGCCTTCCAGGCACAAACCAAGGAAATTATGCCCAGAATCAAGCAGCACAAAGTCTGCTTTCAGAGGTACCCAGAGAAGAGCCAGGGAACTCAGATAGGGGTTGGCTGGACCTGGAGGGAGATTTTATTTCTGTTTTTGCTTTTCTCCCATCCACCTCCCAGACACCCCCAAATGCTATTAATAAGCATTAATTGTCATTAATAGGCAGGAGCAGCCTCTCCCTGGCCTCTCTGAGAGCAGCAGGCATCGCTGCAGCTCCTCGCATCAGCTGTGCCGGTGCCAGTGGGCTGGAGGAGCACAACTGCAGC